TACAACGTATCAGAAATCAAATGATCGAACTATTTGACGAACCTAACGTTGATAAAACATATGCAAATATAAACAAAGTTGATTGTACAGGGAGAATAACATCTCAAAACCACTAACCAAAGGAGACGAAACCAAAACAAAGAAGGTAAGACTAGGATCTGCGAAGTACAGCATTGGGTATAAAGGAGAAACGTGTAGCGTACAAGTGTATACACTGGTAGATATGCAAAATAGAACAAAGACGATTTACACCAAAAATTGTAAAAGTAAAAGTATACAAACTGATCTGTATAAGAATTAAAACATGACATTGAAATAGCATTTCAATGAAACGCAAATGTATAAATGCACAAAGTATGAAATGGTTGGAAGACAAAGTAGGACCAGACTTCACAACGTTCTTGCGGTAAGGATATAAGTATAAAGTGCAATGTCGTTTACAAACTAAAGTAAGCTAACTGACGAAGTAGAATTAAAAAGGCAAAAGAATAAAATACTGACAGGGTCACATACAATGTAACGGATCGCTAACCGACCCTACTTAAAAACTAACAGATCGCTAACCGACCCTACCAAGTTGTTGAGTTAAATCAAAAAAGTGCAGCAATACATACTTGAGGATAAACTAGGAACTATCAATGAAATAATGCACAGGCGCGTAGGGCAAGTAGCAGTAGAAAATTCCTCAATGCCATTTAAATGGCAAAACGTCAAGTTAACAGGATATGTTTGCTCGTGCATGCCTGTAACGTGTTTATTGGAAACCAACCGTAGGGTAATGTGATCACCTTGTGGTGTCAAAATAGGAAGATAGAATTGAACTAATCGTCAGTATACATACACGAGATAAGGCTACAAATTCTAACTAGGGCCTATGTAAAGCTATGCCTTGGGCACAGATGTTGGACTTAAACGCATCTGAGGACCAACGCCCCCGCGCTCTTCGGTGTGTATCAGGAACGCCGCTGAGGGCTGCACTGAGTGTGTATCAGGAACGCCGCTGAGGGCTGCATGAGTGGCGGCACCGATGTGAGAGGAGTGAGCAGTGTATTTTGTGGGATCTAATGCTGAGGTCACAATTCCCATACGGGGCCCGCTCGGGCAGCTTTGGGAAACAAATTATACGATATAAAAGACATCAAAACACAGAAAAGTTGTTAATAACAATCGTGGGCACCATTTCTGTATATTCTTGATATGGATTGTTGCTTTTTCGTTCATACTTACAGTCGGGCCGGGCCCCGACTTAGAAATGTGACCTAAGCAGAAGTGGGCATGCATTTGCGCAGAATGTTGGTGAAAAGGTCACTGCCACTGGATACCGGGCGTCAGATCTGACGGAGGAAAAGGCAACCTGCGCAGTTCCCCTTTTGTGTCAGATATGACATCATGTAGGTCACTGAGACTTGCGGGAAGCATGCACAACTTTTGGAGTGGGAATGATTGGGTTGGGTTTGGAAGATTCAGTAGCTTATGAAGAAAACTAAAATGGTGGATAATTGGGGGAGAAGGAAGCAGCAAAACCTTTCAAATTTTCCAGGTGCCTTTTTGGGAACTGTATATAAGGAGGATAGGAAAAGGTTCGGTAGGGGCGGGGAAGAGAAGGGTCCAGCAACCCGCTTAGACACCAGTGTTGGATGTTAGCGAAATCAGAATTTTTTGGATGGGGGGAAATGCAAGGGGGGGATCTGGGGCTAACATATTCCAGAGGGAAACCGAAAGTGAAGCCAGTTAGATAGAGGAGGTTGATTTTGTCTTGTGGAGGGTAGTCGTGAAGGTAATTAGCAAGACAATTGACATTTGCGGGGGCTGGCAGCGGCACGTATTGTTCCGAGGGCCTAGAGTTTACGGGGGATGCTCTGTCCGGGGGTTATGTGGCAATTGGGTGCTTTGTGCTGACCAGAACATTTGAAGCACGAGTGATTGTAGGGGCAGTCGTGATCGAAGCATTTTCTGAGCCAGTTGGCTTTGCGGGAGACCAATATGCGAATTAGGTGGTGGTAGGCAATGAGCTGTGGACTGTGTGAAGTGACATATTTGAGAGCCCAAATCCTCTCTTTGACCTGGACGGAAATACCGGCGTCTAGTGGAACATGTATGCCGCAACTGGTCGAGGTTGGGTTGCAGGGGTTAAGATCGGCAAGGGGGTTAATGAAATTTTTGAATGGACATATTTGTGACCCCAAATCCTCTCCTTGAAATGGTCGGAAAATACCGGTGTCTAGTGGACCGTGTATGCCGCTACTGGTCGGGGTTGGGTTGAAGGGGTTAGGATCGGCAAGGGGGGTGGTCTCAGAGCGCTTAGTTGTCGTATCACTAATGTTACCGTTACCTAAAATAGAGGAAGCCAGCGTGTCTGCTGGGTTCCCGGGGATGTTGTCCGGAGGGTTTGGCGGCAGGGCCGAGTGAACGGGAGCAGGCTGACCAGGTTCCGTTGCCTGGACAGAGTAGAAGATGTCAGTTCCGCCAACTCTGGAAAGCCTGGATGCTGATCGGCGATGTGGTGTCCGCGGAGGTGGTGATGGCGGGTGCTCCTCGTGGCCAGCTCCACCGTGTCCGCGGCTTCGCTAGGGCTCAAAGTCAGGAAAACGGCGATTAGAGCGACAAGGTGTGAATTGGATGATGGAACCTCTGCATCCTGAAGGAGCGGATGTGCCAAATTATGAATTGTCAAGACATGTCGCCCGACAGTACAGCCCTATGTAATAGCGGACTGTACCACCCGACGGGACAAAATTATAGCAAAATCCAAAAACTCATACATGAATCATACAAAAACTTATATAAAAAACTCGCCTATCAGTACAGTCATACCTAATAGCGGTCTGTACCACGCCGGGACAGATAAAGTCATTAAAAACTCGCCCGACAGTATAGTCAAAAATAATAGCGAACTGTACCACACGTCAGAACAAAATTATAGCAAAATCCACGCCGGTACATCTATCACAGAATTAAATTTAATGTACCACACGGCGTAAAGTTATAAAAACACTCGCCCGACAGTACAGTCAAACATAATAGCGAACTGTACCACACGTCGGAACAATATTATAGCAAAATCCACGCCAGTACATCTATCACAGAATTAATGTACCACACGGCGCAAAGTTATACAAAAACTATAGTACAGCCTGATAGTACAGTCAAACATAATAGCTGTACAACACAACGGAACCGGTAAAGTTATACAAAACTCGTCAGACGGTACAGTCAGACAATAATCGCGAACTGTACAACACAACGAAACCGGTAAAGTTATACAAAACTTGCCGACGGTACGGTCAAACATAATACTAGTAGCTGTACAACACAACGAAACCGTTGAAATTATACAAAACTCGTCCGACGGTACAGTCGGACAATAATAGCGAACTGTACGACACAACGGAACCGGTAAAGTTATACAAAACTTGTCGACGGTACGGTCAAACATAATAGCTGTACAACACAACGAATCCGTTAAAGTTATACAAAACTTGTCCGACGGTACAGTCAGACAATAATCGCGAACTGTACAACACAACAAAACCGGTAAAGTTATACAAAACTCGTCCGGCGGTACAGTCAGACAATAATAGCGAACTCTACCAAACGACGGGACAGATAAAGGTAAACAAACTCGCGGTGCAAAGTCATACAAATTTATATGCAAGCTTGTTTGTACAGCACGATGTGACAAGGCAGAGGGCTCGCCCGTGAACAAATTGATGGTTAAACAGTGGATTATAATGCTCACAAGGATTTATTATGTGGTGATGTTAGCGTAATTCATTGGGAGGGCGGGTGGGGAAAAGAGAAATTATTCTCAAGCGGGGAGAAGTCGACTTGTTGCCCCGAGGTTTGCCGCTCGAATGAACAGAGCGCGTCCTAGGGTCTATTGTCACGTGGCACGACCCGACCCGACAAAGGCCGTGACGTGTTCTTGAGAATGTCCCCTGGAGATTAGGCCAGACTGCCCGGCGCCCGCGAGGCCGGTTGATCAGACAGTTTGTTTTAGCGACATTGTGACACATCGGCTTTAGATAAACAATGCTAATCAAAGCGGTATCATCAATGTCGGCGGCATCCTTACGCTCAAAACTATATTTTTGCCTCGCAAAAAGATGTTTTACGCTTCAGTATACCTGCCTCACAATAGGGAGTATAAACATAGCCGAGAAGGTTTCAGGTTTGGCCGAGAACGAATATTTATTCAAAACAAAACAAAGTAATATGCCAACGTGTCACACATTATAAGAAACAGAACATCGTCATCGATGTAAGAGTTTTCGCAAAAATGTTTAAGAAGTAAATCCCCATGGGATTTGTACAACGTATCAGAAATCAAATGATCGAACTATTTGACGAACCTAACGTTGATAAAACATATACAAATATAAACAAAGTTGATTGTACAGGGAGAATAACATCTCAAAACCACCAAACGGCTCACTAAACTGTGAGCTGAACTGGAAGAGCTAGGAACGCCAAAAAGTCGCGAAATGCGACAAAGCGGAGAGGTGCGATAACAAGACCGAAACTCAAACAGTACGGCAATTAGGAGAGTTTTAAGTACTTTCAGTGTTCAGGGTGGCGGTAGATGGGGGATAATCGCTCCCCTAACGCTTCTGTGACATGGTAAATTGCCGAAATCGGAAAGGTGAAGGCCGACCGCCAGCAAAATATATATTGGGTTCTGTTGCCACAAACGAGCGTGGTACCATCTGTGAACGGACTGGCGGTATAGTAATATGCTAGAATAGAATTTTTGGGCCCGGGACGTCATAAAATTCAAATTATGTCCACGTTTGATAGCCAGAATTCTTGAAAAATCGCCCGTCCGGCGGCCGTAACGGTTCGAAAGAGGGAATCTAACCGTGAAACGAACGAATATACAGAAAAAGCAAATGCGGGTCGGTGGAGAATCCATAACAGAAGGAAAACAGGTAAGACAGCTCACCAAAGAAAGACGGCATCGGGTGCGGGGCTAGGGTGGTGGGTACGGTGTAACCGAGGAGTTAACGTCCGGTCAGAAACGAGGCCGCAGCGAAGTTCTCGCGCAACCGGCTAGCAGTCGGCGCCACCACGGCGTTGGGCGGCAGGGATGTGGGCAGCTTCAGTTTGGAACGTCGGTCCTGTGGTAACAATAAGACGGCAGGGTCAAAGAAAGACCAGAGTCGACTTGTAAAACCGAAAAGGAAAAGTTCGAGCAAGATCGGCTAAAGAGTGGCTTGCAAAAGTGAAAAAGGAAAAGAGAAATTATTCTCAAGCGGGGAGAAGACGACTTGTTGCCCCGAGGTTTGCCGCTCGAATGAACAGAGCGCGTCCTAGGGTCTATTGTCACGTGGCACGACCCGACCCGACAAAGGCCGTGACGTGTTCTTGAGAATGTCCCCTGGAGATTAGGCCAGACTGCCCGGCACCCGCGAGGCCGGTTGATCAGACAGTTTGTTTTAGCGACATTGTGACACATCGGCTTTAGATAAACAATGCTAATCAAAGCGGTATCATCAATGTCGGCGGCATCCTTACGCTCAAAACTATATTTCCCTAAAAACTAAATGGTATTCAACATAACTTTACCAAAAGTGTTTATGACAGAATATTAGGGTGTACTAAGTCTTATGTTGCCCATAGAAACACCGGTGACGTCATAAAATGACGTCATGCAAATTTAAGATATTCGCCATCTTAGACCATCAATCTTGAATTTTCAAAAATAGTTTTTTTTTCATGATAAAGCCTAAATTACATTGTATTTTAGGCTTTATGTCGTATTTATGAAATTTTAAGGAAAATAACCTGTATATACCTGTTCTAATAATATAGTCCGCCATCTTGGATTTTGGCCAATGACGTCATCAGATTAGCAAAATGCATATTTAATGATAAAATTTACATAAAATTATATGGGATGTTATTAATATTAGAAACCATGAGTCGACTTACTTGACTTAATCCTCTTCGCCCGTCCTAGAGCACAGGGCTTCAGTGAACGCTCTCCACCGCCCTTGATCCCCTGAGATCGTCTTAACCTCGTGCCACGAGGTGTTGGCTGCTGTTAGGTCCTTTCTGACACCTCTCTTCCAGGACAACTGCGGTCTACCCGTCTTCCTTGTCCCTTGGGGGTTCCAGTCGAGGGCAGTTCTAGTGATGGATTCTGGGGATTTTTCTTTGTAGATGACCAATCCATCTCCATTTACGTCTTCTGATGGTCATCTCTACTCGTTCTTGGCCTGCTATCTCCAGAAGATCTTGATTACTGACCTTCCTGGGCCACCAGATCCCGAGTATGTAGCGGAGTCTCGTTTGCTCCCTGTTGGTCAGGAAAGCCTTTAACCAATTCAGCGTAGGGCCTTGGATTCCATAATACTCCAGTTTTGAGATGAGCCTGCCATGGGGGACTTTATCAAAGGCTTTAGTGAAATCAAGTATTGCTAAATCTACCTGCCGTTTACTGTTTAGTGCGCCAGCTATGTCATGGTCTGTTAGTATAAGCTGTGTTTCTGTGGATCGTTTGGCTCTGAATCCATGCTGGTAATCCGTTAATATACTGTAACTTTCTAGGTGCTTCATGATTTGGCTATGGATGATATGTTCAAGTAGTTTGCAGGATATGCAGGTCAGTGAAACAGGTCTGTAGTTGCTGGGGACCGCTCTATCTCCTTTTTTAAAGATGGCGCATATATTTGCATCCCTCCAATCTTTAGGGATTTCTGCAGTGTTTAGCGAGTGTTGGAAAATATTGGTTAGAACAGGCGCGATTTCACTAGCTGTCAACTTGAGGAACCACGGTGGTATTTGGTCTGGTCCGGATGCTTTAGAGGGATTGAGACCTTGAAGCATTTTTTCGACACCATCAGTAGAAACTACTACAGTTCCATCGGAGGAGTACAGGGCTGACCTAGAGATGGCATATCTGTGGTGTCTTCCTCTGTGAAAACACTTTGAACTGTGAACTGAGTACTTCTGCTTTTTTCCCGCTGTCACTGATGATGGTATTTCCCACCTTTAGGGGTGCTACCCCGACAAGGTCTTTCCTCAGTCCTTTTATGTACGACCAGAATGTTTTGGGTTTGTCAACTATAGCTTCTCCCAGTATGTCTGCCACGTATTTAGAGTGTGCTTGTCTTATGCTTTTCTGAACTCCCTTCTTAACTCTCTTATATTTGTTCCAGTCTTCCTCTTGGCCTGTTTTCTTAGCTTTGTTATAGAGCCGCTGCTTCTTACGACAGTGCCTCCTTAGGTTTCTGTTGAACCAAGGCAAGTTGTATCTGCTTGATGTTATCTTACTTGGGATGTGCTTGTTCATCGTGTCTTTCATTTTGTCTTTGTAAGTCTGACCACTTCTGTGTAACTGACATATCCTGAGTTCTTTTGTGAAAGTTAGTTGCATAATCCGTTAGGTCTTTCTTAATGGCTGGTTCGTCGGCTTTTGTGTGGATGTACACTTTTCTCTTAGGTTTCCTGTTTGTTTCAGTGCCAGGTTAACGTCCACTAGAACCATGTCGTGGTCACTTATCCCCGGGACTACTGTGGTCTTCTCAATTATGTTGGGGTTATTAACTAAGACCAGGTCCAAGAGATTACCATTTCTAGTTGGTTCCTGGACTGTTTGAAATAACCCGTGGTTATCCATTAGGTTTAGTAGTTTCTCTGCTTGGCCTGTGTAGGCCTGACTGTTGTCAGCTACAGTAGTATCCCATTTGATGCCAGGGGTGTTGAAATCGCCAAGAATGATCACATTGTCAGAGTTTATTTTTGCTCCCATTTTACCTATAGACCTGTCAAGTTCATCCAGACTATTGCCCTGGTCTGATGGGGGTCTGTAGTATGTACCTATTATCGGTGGTTTCCTTCCTGCAAGTTGAGTTTGTGTCCACAGAACCTCGCAGTCTGTGTCAAGGTCTGGCCTATGGGTAACAATTAGATCATCTCTGTTGGCCTGAAATACACCACCTCCTTGGCCAGTTTGTCTGTCTTTCCGGTGTGCTATGTAGTTGCTGGGGAATATTTCACTACTTGCTATGTTTTGGTTGAGCCATGACTCTGTACCTGCTACTATATCTGGCTTGTAAGTGTCAACTACTGTCGCCAGTTCAGCTGTTTTGTTCCGCACACTCTGACAGTTTACTAGGAGAAGTTTACTTTTGGATCTCTTGTGACTATGACCCCTCGTTTGAGAATTACCCTGCTTTGATTTAAGTGGAGTGGATGTAGCCATTGGGATTTCGCCTGGTAAACTTGAGTCAGAACTCAGCGTGTCAAATGAGTTTACTGAATGGAATGTTTCATCAGTGATATCGAATATGGCCGATGCAAAGTTGGGTATACCACAGTCACAACATACCCACGAGTATGATCGGTGGTTTTCTAGTGCACTGTATACTTGAGAACATAGCCCAATGCAGTCACTGTGGTACCATCTATCGCATTCATCACAGCATATTGCATTATGGGTGTTACGTACTGCCTTGTTACAACTCCCACATGGAAACTTTGGTGGTCTAGGCCCTGGGTTGATCTCAATATCCCCGCTTAAGATCAGAATCATGATCAGTGAAAACTTTGTGCCACTATTGTGCAATAGCATTTTCTTGCTACTGACGTGAGTTCCGTTAGCCCCGCTGTGCTTAATCATGAAAGCAAAAGTGGCCCAGTCAGATGTGCAATCGGTTCTGAAGTTGCATGTGACCTGTACTTTCTTTATCTCCTGTTTTGTCTTTTGGCTGTGATCCTTGCTCAGCCCTGCTAAGTACTGTGCAAAGGGCTAGGAATATACAAGTGTAGTGGAGTTCCTATTTTTATTCCCTATAACCGCGGGACCCAGTCACCGCTCCTGTTATTCCGGAATTCCTTAGCGGGACCCAGTCACCGCTCCTGTTATTCCTTAGCGGGACCCTCTGTCACCGCTCCTGTTATTCCTTAGCGGGACCCTGTCAGTGTCACCGCTCCTGTTATTCCTTAGCGGGACCCTAGAGCTGTCACCGCTCCTGTTATTCCGGAATTCCTTAGCGGGACCCTAGAGCTGTCACCGCTCCTGTTATTCCTTAGCGGGACCCTCTGTCACCGCTCCTGTTATTCCTTAGCGGGACCCTAGAGCTGTCACCGCTCCTGTTATTCCGGAATTCCTTAGCGGGACCCTAGAGCTGTCACCGCTCCTGTTATTCCTTAGCGGGATTACCGTACAAGATTACTACAGGTGTGCTTGACCTAATATAATTAGCCCGGCTAGGTTCTGAATACATATGTAAATTTGTTTACCAACGGCGGTCGGACGCGTCACCGACATGCTCAAATCATACAAATGCCACAAAAATATACAGTACGTACCAAAGACTAACAACAAATATCAGTACCAACTACTGTATCTGTAATTATTGATCACCAAGTGTGTTTCACAAGTAATGTTAGGCCAAATATTCACATACAGATGCGGATCACCCTCCCACGCTATACACTATTCATATGCAAATACGTCTATCAGTGTTGGCGCCCGAGACGCGACGCCAAATATATGTTCAAGTGAATCAAGTCCCTTACAAATTATACAAAGACCTTCCAAATATATCACTACGAAAATCTGTTGTCCAAGTTACTAGTGTAACGACACGTCGTTCTATGATTCCTAGATTACAATATCTATACTAGTATACGGTTGTCCTCCCCACACAGATACGTTACTCGTACTCGTCGCCCTCCCCACTCGGTACGAAGTCGTAAAATCAACTTAAATATTTAAACTTTAAAACTTTATCCAAACTTTAAAACCTCTTGACAGATTGCGGAAAGATTGCTTAAATGTCTGTCTTCGTGCTCTTCTTAATTTTTTTCAATGACGTCATCAAATTAGCATTGATTTTACATTTTTAATGATAAAATTTACAGAAAAATTACATGAGATATTACTAATATTAGAAACCATGTGTAACTTGATATAAAACCCAAAAAATTACATGTAGCAAAAATAATGCCCGTCAGCAAACCGTTGCCATGGCAACACCAAAAACCATTATCTTATTCCATTAATACAAAATTGTTGCCAAGAATATTTTTACGAAAAGTCTCTTAAAACCCTTGTCCTGCTGTGCGCAACATATGTCGCGCGGCACATACAGTACCATCTATATAACACCCTGTATAGGTACGATTTGGGGGTATTTCTCGTGCAACGCATCACACCGCAGCGAAACGCAACAAATGCGGAAGTAACTATGCCACTGCAGGGCAAAAAAAATTGGGGGGCTATGATCTAATTAAGACATGAAATTATTGAAAAATATTGTGCCAGGAATGCCAGCAGGACAAGGGTTAAGTTTGGTGGTTCTAGCGCGAGCCGTTCGAATGCTATCAAAGTTGGCGCGGGCACTTTTTGTAAGCAGATATTAGGCGGTTGTTGTAGGCAGGCGTTGGCCTTACTGTTTAAACGACAAACAAATTATGTGACTTTACATGTGGTAACTTTGGTTTATTTTGTTCATCATGTATATCTCTTGTAAAATATGACACCTTTTTGTTATACCGATGATTCTTTTATTGACAAAACAAAAAAGTACAGGGACTTTTGAATGGTCTTCTACAACTTAACTGAAGATCTAACAAAGCTTAATACACGTGTGGATAACGTCATCTTACGTACAGAGCATATGTATGATGTAATAATAAAGGATAGCATAATGGCGGATAGCTTAAACATGCATGACGTCATTTAATGACGTCACCGGTGTTGCTATGAGCAACATAATACTTAGTACACCCATAACAATATTTAGTCATAAACACTTTTGGTAAAGTTATGTTGTAAACTATTTAGTTTTCAGGGAATAACCTATTTAAACGGTTTTGGTCAATAAAATCACATGTATGACATCAAAAAATGTAGATATGATAAATTTTTACAAGTACACCATCCTCTGTAAATCTCGTGGTCATACGACATACCGTTGCCGTGTTCTGAGGAGGGGGGGGGGTAAAATGAGACATACACACCCCTCCCTCGGTTCCACCAAGCTCCAAAAAAGCCCGGTCTAGATAGGGTTAATTAATGACAACTAATTCTTAATTTTGTGATTGCTTTTCAAATATCTATATTGTGTATAGTTGAGAATTATTGTATATATATATATATATATATATATATATATATATATATATATATATATATATATATATCGTATGCTTCTCGAAGTAAGCTGTCTTCGGGCAAGTTTACAAGACGATGCCAATATTTTATTAATTGCATTTTAGTATCTATTATTATTGGAAAGGTTCCTAGTTCTCCAAGATCACCATCATTTTATGCTTTTCTATTAACTGTAAGTAAAAATTTTCGAAAGTTCATATCGATGGTATCAAATTCTGGAAATTTTGACAAAGATGTACATTTCAATTAAATAGTTGTCGTTCTCTAATTTTAGACCAGTTTCTCTAATACGGTGGAGAAAATGTTATATAAATGATTGCCTTATGCTGAGGTCAATTTCCACACGGGGCCCGACCGGGTAAATTTTTGGAACGAAAAGTACGTGTAAAAGACAACAAAACACAGAAAAGTTTTTATTAATGATCATGGGCATTATGTCTGTATATTCTTGATATGGATTTCTTATTTTTTGTTCATACAAACAGCTTTTTAAATGACAAGCAAATGATATTACTTATTATGATATCACTATTTATTATGTCGGCTTATTTGTCTAGTATAATCTCTGCCTACTGAATAAAGCTGGTTACTGTAACCTCCCTAATTGAACTTAGGATTGACGATCCATGATGGCCGACAGCTTAATTATGCATCTTGAATTCTTTCAATAATTATTTTTCAAAATACAGCCTCAATGCAAATGATATCTATGCAAATGATATCTATGGTAACTATGGTACGTAACTATGGTTAGAAGTGTACTTGAGTATTGTTCTTCTATTTGGTGCCCCGGACCACGTAATCTGATTAGTGTTGTAGACGTTGGCATCCAACGTCGGGCAACCAGGTATATACTTGGCGTAGTTCCTGAACATCTCGATTATAAATCCCGATTGTCTTCTCTTTGTACGTTACCACTCACATTCAGGACAGAAGCGGCCGACGTCGTACTCTTTGTCAAGTGCATGGCAAACGTGTGCGATTCAGATATGTTGAAATATGTTTCTTTTTCTTTGAGAAGCAGGAGAAGCGCAAGATCTCACATGTTAACACCTCTTAGAACTAAAACACAACTGTTTGCTATGTCGTACTTCCCAAGACTTGTATGTATATGGAACAGTTTGGATGTCAGTCTGAGAACTTTGGGTTTAAATGTCTCTCAGTCACAACACGTGAATATCTACAAAAGACAGTTGTTGATACATTTACATAACAGGTTTAATGCGGTCTATGACACCGATGCTGCATGTAGCTGGATATCGTTCTGCAGATGTACGACCTGTATGGCCACCAGGCCGCGATAACTGCCCTATATTTGTCACTAAATTGTTATATATCCTAATATGTTATAGTATGTTGTCAGTTAAATTGTCAATTTTTTTATATTATGTATTTTGTATGAGGAGAGACAACTGGCAGAGGTGCAATTATGCACCTGTTTTGTTTCTCTCCCATGCTACTTGCTGTTGCATTGGAAAGTCTAATAAATAAATAGATAAATTAAATGGACTAAACATTATTAAATAACCATTTAATGTGAAAAAAAGGAGTTATAATAAAGAATTACTAAAGAAAACGTGGTTGCACCAGAGCTAATGCCATCTTGGTTTTTGACCAATGACGTCCTCTTGATGTATCATGAATAGATCATGAATATGTCACCATAGACATTTTTTGGTATGTTTTTGATAAGGTTGATATTATTTCTCTGAGTATTACGGAAAAATAATTTTCGACAGTTTTACTACAAAAAATTACATGAATGACGTTATATGACGTTATAATTACACCCGATTTATTATCATTTATTATTACTACAATAATCTCAAATATTTGGTGGCTGTACGATAAGTGGTTGCTGAGTTAAAGGGGGCTGATGCCAAAAGCCCCCCCCCCCTCCAAGCATGCACAGAAAAGGCCCGTTCTGAATAGGGTTAAAGGCTTTCATAAATCACTGCAACAAGATGCGGTCTTTGGTACGAGTCAGCGAAGAAATCAGCCTTTACCACCCCTCGGAGTATGACACGCAAAGTTGTATTTGAACAATTCGTGTTGACTTCTCATCTCGTAATATTTCTGCCCTGGCTTTCGAAACATCCCATAATACGAATCCTCCTTTGAACGAGAATTATTGTGCCCAAATTCAACGGATGTACAGACTGCAATGCGGAGCCTTCCGAGGGAAGACAGGAAAAAAGCTGGAAAAAAAGATAACTAAATTAATGTTATATGTACGCGTATCACAATGTGTTCTCATTTTAATTAAACAGAAGTTTTAAATTTATCTGAAAACGATCCCATTAATTAACGCATCTAAGGTTTCACCCTTTTAATTATTTTACTCCGTACTACAGTATGGAGTGAACTACTGTTTTTCCTCATGTTTCTTCTCTTCCTCCTTTTTCTGCCATTTCATCGATTCAATTCCTTCATTTTTTTGGCAAAATGACCTGGAATTTCGTATAAATGTAGAGTGGGTAAATATACCCAGGATTTTTTTCCATTTTTTATACAAGCTTTTACAATTGTTTCATTTCTTTTTCTTCAGCTGTTCCTAAAGGAAAGCACCTGTGGGTGAGTAATAAGAATGGAATTTGGGAGCAGGGCCAAAAGGGGCATGCAACAGGTGTGGACTTGTTTGCAGATCTGGCTGTTGATTGGCTGATGGCTGATTAATTTATATTCTACCACATTCTTGTGTTTGTTTAGCCAGGGAAAAGCTACAGGGCTTTTTCATTCCTCGTAGTTTTGAACAATTTTCCGTTGTTGTTTAACCCTCAAACACCCGAACTTTTTTGTGACGTTAATTCCCGGACGGGGTCCTAATGGACCCCATTTGGTTTCTTTCATATTTATATTCCTTTTTGCATTCTTTCAGTGATCTTTGTCCATATATTGGTTAAACAAAGTAAGAGGTATATTTTGGCATGATTAAGTGTTTAAAAATTCAAGCTCATTATCATAATTTATGCAAAAATAGGATGAGGCCTGCAGGCATGAACATGGGGTTGACCTTTGACCTCATATGATTGTCAAATTGTCAAACCTCTGAAAACCTTAAGACCTAATTCCTGAGGTTGAGGTTACTTGGCAAACTGTATAATATTAAAGCAATAATGCTTCCTTGAAGACATATTGAGGACATCCGAACAATTTTGTGTGTAGGAAAGTGCAAAAACATGTTTTGGGTCCGTTTGGACCCCAGACGGTCTTACGCAAGACTTCGGTTGTAATTTTTACAAATTTGTGCCGATCTCCAAAAAAAATTAGGAGAACCTGTAGAAGAGGTTTATCGACAAAATCACGGGAGGAATTTTTTTTCGAATAAAAAAAATTCAAATAGCACATAAAAATATATGCCTGGGGTCCAAATGGACCCCATTCGGGTTGGTTAGCTCTGTTGGTTGGCAACGCGGAAGACGTTAATTCAGGTATTCGAGTTCGTAACAATTTTAACATTTTTAACAACTTAACCATTTTAACATTTAATTGTATTTTCCAACATACAAACCAAAATCACTTTGATGTTGTCACAAAAGTATAGAATTGTCAAGAGAGAAGGAGTACGGCACTCTGCCAGGGTGAAGAATCTACAGAGGTCTTACAAGTCACTAGCAGCAAGAGAATGACCACATTGAATGATGACGATGAGGACGAATCATATGAAGTTCTATTATAGCTTGTACAGAAATTCTACTGCTTTACTTTACTCAGTACAGTTAAGACCATTTCACGACCCCCAAGCAATTTGGGCGTTGGCCGTCTTAGCAACACATAGATACAACCTTTGACCCTGAATTTTCCAGATTTCTCCTATTGTTTGATATTTGCCCTGACCCTGCCCAGTGTGAAAACATTGCAAGAAGGGTGCCGGTGGACCAGGTGAAGTGATACCTGGCCTCTGTGGAGTGTGAAATGTTTGGCTGTCTGGGAACAGTGCTAGATGTGTATTATAATTGACAAAGGATTCCATATGTCTAGTGTTTCTAATTTGTGTGATTCCCAGATCTCAACATTACACACTGGTCGATTGTTCTGTCAAATGTGACATTCTCATTGTAAATAGCCTGACAAGGCATAAACCTATAACACTCAGAAACTTTAGTAGAGGACAACCTGAGTATATTTCGCATAAACACCAGGGGTACTGTTGATAATCAAAAGTCTGGTAACCCTCCATGTTTTTCTGGATTTGATGCCGTTTTGTTTGTTTTGATGAGCAATTTTTATTACAGGACTTAGGAGAGTACTCTTATACTAGTGTTTAGACTAGTGGTTTGACATAGGTAAAACCTTTCACACACTTTCTTTCGAATTTTGGTAAGTTGTAGCAGCTCTATAGAACCATTTTGCGTCGGGGAACAACAGACGATAAACTGGATAGTGAGTGCGCCAGTGTAATCAACTTGTTAAAAAGCTTGCGCCAACCAAATTATAGTTATACTTTTTGATGTTATCGACTTGTTCCTTATGTTGTTGTAGAGTATGTTGGATCAAGAAATTGATTTTTGATAAAATAGTCTTTTTCTACTTTACAATGTACCAGTGCTTGGAACCTTGAAACAATAATGGTTGTTTATTGTTGATAAACCAAGCCAAGCTGACTGTCTGGCACTAGCAGGTAAAGGTGTGGACAAGCCGTGAACTGCCTATTGTTCTCCTCGGGTAGTCTGGTCCCCAACAAAGAAGGTGCTATGTCAACAAGTTAATTGGCTGTATTGTCCACTTATCCCAACAAAGTGATCAGATTTCAGTTCCTACGAAGCCAGAAGTTCAATTTTTGTGATCTTATTTTTGCCCTTAAAGCGCATCCACACACAACATTCTTTTGAGTTACTGAACACATGTATAGACAAGTTGTTCTTAAAACAGTGTGTCGGGCCCAGAGTGCACAACATTTCCAAGACTTTGCTGACCCTGTATGAATATTGCAAGCATGTGATTTTTGCCAAAAATCTTAACATATTAGATAATATCTCTGTTGTAATAACAATGATACACCTGGGATCGATGGGATGTTATAGAGGTTTTACTGACGAATACATACATACCAAATTTGTCTGAAAAAAAGTTTGTCTAGGGGTCCCGCCGGGCACTTGAAGTTTATAAATTTAGATGTGCTTATTATATCAATATTATAATATTAGCAAGTTATTCACAAAATTTATGTAAGCAGAGAGTTTGCCTTTAACCTTGTGCTTTAGTAGTTGTCGGAAATGTCAGAAAATAACCACCCAATAAGTGTACATTACACTTGAAAGTTGGGCTGTCAGTTAATGAGGCAGGGAGGCTCAGGGAGGGGGACAATGGTCTTAACTCTATTGAGTACTTTCTTTCACTCTGTACATGCAATTAGCTACCGGCATAATTAAAAAAAGGTTATGATAATCATAGTATATATGAAGCTTATTCAATGTATTGTTTCATAGTTTCTGTGATTGTAAATAAGGCCATTTGGCATTCATGCGCGATTCGGTTATCGTTAATTTACAAGATAAGTTTACGACAATCATACAAAACAGCTGGAAACTAAGCAAACATACTCCGTAAATTGATTATTGTAATTCCTGATTTTTTTCACTGTACCTTTATATTTACGGTTTTCACTGTCACCTCTGTATCGTGAACTTATCATTACAGTTAAAAAAATAATTCTTGGACTTTCTTTTTCCTCCACCAGTCACCATCGTGAATATATGTCCATTTTTCTCAGATGGTGAAATTTTGCTACCGTTATCAGTAGTTACAATCTCCTTAAGTAGTATTTAGATACCTGCAATAAATAAGTTATGAGATTGAGATAAGTGTAAAGTAAAGCAGTCGAGATTTAGAGTGTTTCTCCTTGTATCTTTAAAAAAAAGGAGATAATTGCCAAGTGACATTTTTGTAAATAAAGCTGTCAAGATTCAAGAGCTTGTCATTGTATAATTGCAGTATGATTTATTCAGAATCTTCTATTTTTGTTTGGGGAGGGAGATGGATTGAAATATTACATTTGCTCCGAAGCAAATATTGGCCTTTCTAGTTTGATACTATCTTTGCGGCCACCGAAAGATCTGCTAGGAAAGTACCCATTAGTGTAGGTTTATATTTTAGATAGTTTGGATATTCTTGCATATGACGCATTTGCACATATTACACTAACTATATGCGCCACATGTGAGTGGGTACAAATAATTAAAAAAAGCTCGGATTTTAATTACAATAGTAACTATTTGACAACATGATATTTATACTAACATACATAAGCATATCCAAAGAAATGGACATGGAATTACTACCGTAGTGTCCGACGCGGGAGAGAGCTGGGTGAGGATCAAATCCAACAGCCTTAACTTCATTGGTAGACGCAAGGAAGAAATTTGGCGCATGGTCCGTAGCGTAACAGCCTCAAAGAAAAAAAAATAATTGTAATGGACGGTATTGCTGGAAATTAACTTCAATACTTTAACACAAAAAAAGAATGTGTAAATGCATGACTAATCTCAATGCCCTTTCTTGGCCCCCAGGAACTGAACAATAAAGAATCAATAAAACATCAAACAACACAGGTTGCTAATAATATACGGAGGAATAGGACATTAAAAGTACATTGAATTCTCTCTCTGTGTTATTGCTAACGTCCAAATTGATGAAAGTACTACAACAACAAGTAACCATGTTCATGTCGACACTTAGTCAGATGGAGTTGAATGTTGGATCATTACCTCATATACCTTGGTTGAACCAAGCTGATTACTGAGGTAAACACATTTGTTCACAAAGAATAAGCTTGAAATGCCATCGATAAGTTTTTAAGTACAATATACTTTGTTGTCCTCAGTGTACAACAGAAAAACAGATATGGTATAAAAGACCGGTACTATATACAAAATAAAGTAAAGCTATACAAACATCCATTCAAAGCGTTAGGTATATTCTGTCTATTGTCGGATTCAGTCACCCTTCCCCTGAACACTCCCCCATTCAATTCATCAGTTCCGCTCTATTGTTTATTCCCTGGGCCACTATAAGTTATCTCACGGTCAAAATACAGCAAGCTGAGATGTTGAAGTATAAAATAGCTCTATATTTCACTTTTTTGCAGTGATCGCGTTAAATAAACATACGCTATGTAAACGAACATGGCGACTGGCCACGTTTGTCGCCTCCAGCCGATAGTTTCCAGCGATTCATGGTGATTTCTTGTTCCCTGGTGTGATGGAATACATAGGATAGTGTGCAGGAGGCCCATAAGGCAGAGCGTGGGTGCTGGGGTGAGTCAGTCGGAGCCCAGGCTGGAGAGAGAGAGGTCCGGTGGCCTGTACTAGGGCAGTCTGGTATTAAAAGAGTTCCTTGAGATCAACCCCGGCTCATTTCGTGACACCTGGGCCACGTATAAGTTCAATATGTTACAAGTAAACTTTAGTGCAGCTAACGGTGATGTTGAAGTATAAAATGACTTTTTTTCTTTCGATACATTTCACTTCCCTGCTGTGATTACAATAAACAAAAATATTCTATGCCGACTATGCTGATTCATTGTGATTTTTTTTTGGTCTGTGCCACGTATAAGTTATCCCATGTTCAAAATACAGCAAACTGCGATGCTGAAGTGCAAAGAAACTTATTTTATTTTGGTACATTTCACGTCTCTTCTGTGGCCGCGCTTATCAAACAAATTGTGATACGCTATGTAAACAAACATGGCGACTGGCCGGGTCGCGTCCACCGATTCAGTATTTAAGTGATTTGTTTTTGTTCCCTGGGCTACGTATGAGTTAAATTATGCCAAAATACAGCTATTGGAGCTGTTATCTCATAAATGCAGGGTGTATTCCGGTGTATTGTGGTAAATAGGCAGGCCGGTATCATAGAGTTGTACTTTAGCCGACGTTTAGGGCCTAAATTAAGAAAAAAATTACTTATCGGTTCATAATGCTGTACAAGAGACTGATCCTGCAAGGCTGATTTCCTTAATGAAATTGTATACTGTAAGCTCCTGGCATTTAATTTTAGCGATGAACATGGCTGATTCGTAAAGAAATACATAAAAACGCTGGGAATCTAAAAAGACTACAAACACCCAAACGGGAGCAGTTTTTATATATATTGATGTGCTGTTCTGAAACTTTCAATCTTAGGAAAACTCCACCCATAACTTTGTTAGTCAACCTCTTCTCCACCTTCTCCTATATTTTTTTCGGAGAAAGTTAAGAACTTAGCTAAGCCCCACTGGGTTTAAAAGTGACCCCAGCAATAAGAGCATTTTTTTTTCACTCGAAAGACTTTGGCTGTCCTCAATATGTATTCCATGAAACGCAATTACTCTAATGTTATGGATTTGGCCAAGAGAACTTAGCCTCAGGAATTAAGTCATCAAGCTATCAGAGATCATTGCCTTTGACGATCATTTGAGTTCAATGGTCACTCATGTCCATGCCTAAATTATGGAATACAAAAAAGAGAGTTCAGACAAACTACCCCTCCCCGTACACTATATGGGTGACTGTTTTATCATGTTTCCCAAATTTGAAGTTTGTTCATGGTCCCCTTTGAGAGCAAGACATGAACAGCAATTTGCCAGTATATCACAAACTACCTACCTATATCCTATGACTTTTCTGCAAACTCTTAATCAGCACTTACCATAGTACTTTTTTTATTAAGTACTGAATAATAATGTGCCAATGAACGACACTCACCCTTAAATTCACTTATATATAGCTATGAGTAACATATTGAAGGTCCCTACGCACACAAAATTTGCTGAACAAAGTAGAGGTGACATGTCAGGCCATCGGCCTAGATCTGAACATATCTAAAATTAAAATATAAACACTTGAACTTAACGTATTTTTAGCAACTAACTGCACTTTACGGCTCTAAAGTTGATAAAGTGTTAGACTTTACATATTTATGTGGCTATAACAATTAAGAGAGAGAATAGAGTATAGGATTGTTAAAGCTTAATGTTCCCTCCATTCCTACAAAATTGAAAGCTCATATCAAGAAGCAAAAACTTTAGTTTTAAAAGTGTCTTGCGTTCTAGATCAATGTTGATCTGCCCTAATGGCCGACAAATGTTCTTTTTTAACCCTTTATCTTGTATACTGTTTAATTTAGTTTTCCTGATTTAACAAAGAGGACGTTGAAAACACGCACGGTACATCCCTGATTCACGGGCTATTAGTAAATCACATAGCAAGATATTTGATGGTACATACACGAGTGTATGATGTATCATGGAAAAAAAAATTAACAATAACGCTTCGACTCTCTCCTGACCATGTCGTCTGTAGTTGCACGACGCAGCTACGCAGATTTGCCCTGGCAGGTCATGTTGTTCTAAGTAATAAAAACTGTCAAAGATAGATAAAGACACTGCTCTTGCGGGGACTGCTCTAGTGTCCAACATGAGGGACAGGGGTACTGGAGGGATTTTATCAAATGTACATTACCGAATTTTTCGGAGGCATAATGATGATAATAGTTTCAGTTTCAGTTTCAGTTTATTTAAGAAATCGACTTGCATGTTACAAAAAGTCACATGAAAGACGTCGGATTTTTACAATCACTGCAAGTATCCTTGACTATCCATTAAGATAAAATGACAGTGATATATATGAAGATTTAAAATCTAGACATAAAACATCAATTGACATTTACAATCGTAACAATAATAGATTCATATTTACAGATTTGCATGTAAAATCCTATACCACTACGTAGAATGCTGAGACAATAACTTCAATGCACGTGGTATAAACGACTGTTCATGTCGTTTCGTTCTATTGAAAGAGGAACGTGGCTGTTTACTTCGTCTTAAGTTATATGTGCTTTGAGGCGGAACACATACAAAGTCATGCAGAGGGTTGTCTGTGTCATTTACGATATGTCATGTTACATATATGATAGTGCTCAAAGTGGCAAGGTCTCGTCTCGAAGACAAAGAAGGCAGGGATTCAGCAGGGATTCCTATAGAGCTTATTCACCACACGTCATCATGACGTTACGACCCCTCATGTCCCGTGCGACGCCATTTTGGGGCTACAGCGCCTACAGCGAGTTTCCAAGCATTGAAATGGCCGACAAACGTTAGGTAAACTGTCCTTTGAGAGTTTACCACCACTCATACCTCTCGTTACAGGAACAAAATAAAATCTGTTGGGATTGACCCGTTTTTGTTGAGTTTTGATCAGTCTGATCGAGACGGCGTCTACCGCCAGCGGAGTCCATTGACGCGACTTAGCTTCGTATTTGGTACTGGGCCGAAGTTTTTACACACAACATCGGTTCAAACCCTCTAAGAGTCTGAAAGCGTTGTATCAGGATGTGTAGAGAGTGTTGTGGGACATGCAGTTGCGTGGTGACAAGTACGTTGTAGTCGGCGATACGCAAAAGGTCGCTATTTTGGAACAGCCCCGGACTGTGTCTGGATAATAACAAACAAATGCGGGGCCATCGGCCGCCGGCCGCCATCCTCAGTCCGCACTGCCGCGACTGTGGCTGGACAAGGTGAGTGTTACAAGTTGCCAGTGCCCTGTTCTACATGGACATTTACCACTGAGTAGCTTCAACAGATTTAACGTGTCCATGGCTATCCACGTTGCCATCTACAGGGGGCGATCTACAGGCCCCTACGCCAGGGTAAAACACACCGATTTCTGATCAGCAAAAAAAGATAAAAGCCGATCTTGAGAACATGAGACGTGGACATGGAGCCAGAACAACCCCAAGGACAATGTTACTAACAAGAAGAGTGTTCAAAACGTAGATTGTGGCCCAAAATGCGCAACTATCGCCAAGAGTTTGCATAGCGTACCATAGCGATAGGCACCATGCTGCACCCCCTAATGGCGGACAATGCTCGCTGCCGGAGGAAGAGTCACGTGACCATCTGTGGTGAATAAGCCCTATAATCCTACAACAACGCTTCTGGACATTTTCAAGCATGTCTGACAAATGCTTGGGCAAACCTGCCCATACTGGACTTGCATATTCTAACAAGCATATTCAATCAAATAATAATGGTGATTATGATGATGATACGATTTTTTTCGTTCCGTAATCGTTTTCTTATATTATCCCATTTATTCAGAGAAGGAATTAAACTGATACGACAAAAATTTGCTAGGTGAAGCTTTCAGGTGGCATCCGCCATCTTTCTCATCTATCCCATTTATATTTTCCCCTTTTTAGATTTTAAGGGTCTATAGCTAACTCTGTTCAAAATTCCAAATGGTTTTTAATTTTTGCCACGATTGATATTTCCAGACCTTTCATGTTAATAACGGTAACGTTTATTAGAAAATATACAGAAATTGTCTTTCATTGTTATTCCGTCGTTAAAAGTGCCATTCAATGCAATAATTACTCACCTGGGAAATTCTTGATTTCTTGATAATGTTCTGGTTTCTTCTCAAAACAACTGTAAGTGTCATTCCCAAGTACCCGCAAGGTGTATACTTGATGTTTTCCTCCTTTAAACGACCCGCTAACCTGTTAAGAAAGTTGATTTGTAAAAGGGTGAATTAGGAACGAAAATGATCAATTTTATATCTTCATTAGAACAAATCAAATGTCTTACCAAATGATAATCAGTCTTGTCAAGAAGAGACACCAAGATTTCCAATTTTGTTCCTGTTGTAAAGTATTGGTCATCATCCATGTAGAGAAAGTACTCGGTTGAGACTTGGGATAATCCAAGATTTCTTCCAGCGAAGTAGCCCTTAAGGCGAAAAGAAGAAAACTGGTTGTCTATTAAATGATTGAAAAAAAGTTAACCGTGTGAAAACTCGCAGTGAGAGAACATCCTTATTTATGTGACCAGAAAACAGACTAAGAATGAATTTTACGACATTTTCAACTACCCAACATTCAAGCTGTAGGCGTGCTGAGAAATAGAATTCCTTTAGTTTGGAAATGGCTATTCTGAAAACATTACCACTATTTACATGTATAAGACAAATACTGTCAATAGTACAAAGATCTGTTATCAATCAATCAACCATTCTCCCACGGCAATCCATTCACATTTTTTCACATTAGGCTGCATACATACCAACGACAAATGCCCAAATGCTACAATACGATTGGAAATAGCCAGGTGGTTATTACTTTTCTAACTTAAAGTACTTTTTAACAACAGCTCCCCGTACACCAAACTTCAAAAACTGTGCCAACAAATGATCGAGTTATAACGTGTTAACCTACATGCGAATCCATATTAGGCCCAAAAAGATTACATATTCTCATTGACAAAGACACAGTAAGTGTTACGATTCAATTATGAAGGCGTATCAACTATTGAACAGATAGTACTCACCGTGAATGCAGGCATCATGTAATGTATAACATTCTCATCCAGGAAAGTCACCATAGTATTATTGGGTGTGTCGTCAGCAAGGATGATTTTTGTCCCCGGATAGAACTTGTTAATTGAGTCAATGAGATACCTAACTTTATGGTATCTTGAAAAAGTTTTAACAACCACGGTAACTCTTTCCTGAAAAGTTCCTAAAAAGATCAAAAATAGTTTAATACTTATTCAAACACCATAAAATCATTAAAAGCTAGCTTTTTTTGTTGCTAGTCCTGCCTTACCTAGGTAGTAATTTAAAACCCGGGCAAAGACTGTTACAATTAAAAGCTAGACCACAACTTTACTTTCAATACACATTTCTTGACTCGTAGGCATTAAAACACGAAAGTATTTTTTTTTACCTTTCACACAAGTTAACTTTTTTGCTATTTCCCATTTTGCTTTTTGCTAGGTCCCTTCACCCTACATTGAACCGCGACGGGGGTCGACATCGTCTACCAGATACCTTTGACCCAGTGTTGAAGTCACACTTCAAAGAAGCCACGTGACAAGCTTCACTGGGTTAGTCTACCGAGGAAGACCAGAATGGCTGGTAGAAAGCTCTAGGTTAGAGAATTTTTTTGTGTTGGAACAAGAGCTTTAACTTTAAACATGTAACTACCAACACATATAAACTTTCATGATAGCTTTTGCTATTTCTTTCATACCGTCTTCTTTAATTCAGGTATCGTCATATTAAAACTAAATACTAATGAATGAGGTATAACCCACATCATTGAAAATCTACCTCCGTCACCGTCTTTGAAAATGGTATTGTGTTTGTCAATCCTTTTTTCATGTCGTGCAGCTTAATTTCATCCTCCCATGGCAGGGGCAGCGGCTCCGAATTCCTTCTCCACCCCTTACCCCTGCCGAATAAGCCCGCCTTTTCTACTCTGCGACCCCAGGAATATTAATATTCCTGGGGTATGAGCTTGCCTTATTTGGCATGACCCCATTTCTGACTTGGGCGGGGACGGGACGTTACCCTCCCCGCCGGCGGCTCCGCCGCCGCCCGGTGACGAGCCCGTTGAGAGGCCGTGCGGGGCAAAGTCACCGAGCCGCCCCCTCTTTTTTTCCGCGCCGACACCTTCCCCGTGCTCGGCGGGATCCGCGCGCAGCCTCCAGCACACGTTAGCGCCCCGCCGACGCCCGCAGCGGCCTGCATCGCAAAAGTTCTCTTCCCAAGACGACGCCATGTTTGTTTTTATGTAAGATGTAAGAGCCGACATGATTGGTTCGGATAGCTAGCGCAGCTCATAAATATTTAATGTAAAGTGCGTTGAAGATTTTCTCTGTGATACGTGATTGGCTGAGAGCGTGTCCCTGGAATCGGGTCGCAGAGTAGAAAAGGCGGGCTTATTCGACAGGGGTAAGGGGTGGAGAAGGAATTCGGAGCCGCTGCCCCTGCCATGGGAGGATGCTTAATTTTAATTAAAAGAAAATCATTTTACCTTTTCTGTATAGCCATGGTACCTGTCGATGCTGAATGTGTATTGGGATAGTTGCGTGAAATTCCAGGTAACGTAGGCAAACTAAAAAAAAATGTTTATTAAGCGGAGATATAAGTTTAACTAATTGCCTTATATATCTGGTACAAACGTAGCAAAGTCTGTGACAATTATGTTAGCTCCAAGTCAGTTTACCCCCAAGAGTTTGACCCTAAGACTTACATCCGTGAATAGTTTCTTTAGGTTGCTAAGCTCAGGTTGCTCATTGAGTAAAGGGACTCTTTTTACACAACCAAGTCTTTTATTCAGCCGACGGTTCAGTAACAGTCTATCACCTTTCTCATGGCAATTTCTCATGGCAGGGGTTTCACGCGCGGGTTCCACAGAGCCAGTCTCAACGGTAAATGTTTTCTTAAAATAAGAAACAGTTTCACTGGGACTCTTGTCCGAATGTGATAAAATCCGCACTGCATAAACGCCAAGTGTTGTTGTTGTTCTGTTTACAGGGCTAAAATGTGTGTACAATAAGCCTTACGGGCATAAATACTAATTCTAGAACATATTCATATTATCCAAGCAACTAATTTAAACCGGCCCTAGATCCCCCATTATAACAAAATAGAGACTTGAGTCTGACAGATTTTTAATTTCAAAGCAAATTTTTCAACTTCCAAGGCCAACTTCCAAGGCCAAAAATTCCAGAATGCCGCCATCTTTAAAAAAAACGTCAAAGATCGAGATTTTTGTCTTGTCTACAATCTAATATGTTTTTTTCAGGTAAATTGAATTTGTTTTTACTACAATTGAAATACCATGTTTGCAAGCATGTCAGGCCGCGTGAGTATGTGGATTTGGTTATTTAAATCCGCGTAAAAACGAACTACGATCTTCAAGGCCACCCACGAAGAAATTGGTTTATATTTTTGAAAAAAAGTCTTTTTTTTACTATTAGGCTAAACCCACGTTAAAATGGGCTTGAAGTAGCGGGTTGTTGTGAGTTTACTGTAAACGATAGCGGGTGACCCCAGATGGAACGGACGTTCGGTTAAAATGACGTCATATCAAACAAGATTTGGTTCAAAAAAAGGTTGGAATATTTGGGCCCAAATGTCACCACCGTGATAGGTTTAAACTATTTCAATCCTATGACGCACATAAGAAAATGACACAGTTTTGATTGAACAGTAACGTACTTCATGCCTTTTTTTCATGTTTTTTTCCGTACCATGACACACTTTCAAGTTTGCACCGTATAAAGTGTAGGTATATTTGCACCTTTATAACCAAATAATTTTTATCAGAAAACTGCGTCAATCCCCATGAAACACTTTTCAAGTTTACAATGTTTCCAATGGCATGCAATGTTTAGACTGTATATTCACACACTCATGTTGGAAAACTTTTGGCATCCCAGACGTGTATTAACCCGATTACATACTTTAAAGTGTGTACTATTATTATTTGTTCACTATATCCACGCAGGTTTGTAGTTATACCTAAAATCGCCACGTGAAAACAGGTCATCGGACCTGAACATCTAACCGGTGAGAAATAAGTCACAGATTTTGGTCTTCAAGTGTGACTAAATGAGTAGGAAAGTCATAAGCGATTTGAAAGCAAATTAAGGTGTAAAAAGCAACTGTCTTCTTTTAAGCGTGCGGCCCCAGCGACCCGTTTCATTTTATTTATTCATGCAGGGGTAGCATATCACCAGCGGTTGTTTTCAACGCTACCTGCACAGAACAATACATACTATAATAACAGAAAAAGTTAAAGAACTAACTTAGGTACAATTATAATCATCGTGGTTAGAGAAACAGGACAAATTAATAACGTACAGAAAACAAACTAAATAAATATGACAAATGATGTACATGATATTGATAATAGAACTAAATTTGCAAATCAATGTTTATGTTCAAAATACAAAATAAACAAAGAAATAATATTAACTACTGAGTGAAGAAAATGTGGTCTTATGGATTTTGCAGGGTTTTTTTGCATTTCTGACGTGAGGAGGAAGCGAGTCCCAAAGTACTGCACCGGAACAAGAAAGCGATCTCTTATAAGATATTTTTAGTCAAATGATATTTCTGAGGCCTTAGAAGTATGTTAGCACATGTGTGCCTCCTGTCGTTCTTCATTTTAATGATGTCATCGAATTTTCTTAATGCCATATACCTCAATGCTAGGAGTGTGAAATCTGTTAACCAGAGTAGGAACAAGTTGGTACAGCTCACCAACCTGATACACCTTAATGCTCCGGATCTTCTCGCAATTACTGAGACTTGGTTGACTTCTGATGTGCATGATTTAGAGGTTATTCCCCCTGAATTTGTTACCTATCGCAAGGATCGTCATGTTACTCACATTAATAAGTCTGGTGGGGGGATTCTACTCGCTGTTAAATCTTCAATATGTAGTAGTCGTAGACTTGACCTGGAGCCTCAGGATGAGATTCTTGTTTGTGAAATCCGTCCTCCAGCTATGGGCAAAATTGCTGTTATTCTTTGCTATAGACCTCCCTCTGGTAACTTGACAGCTTTTACGCACAACCTGGGCTCGACTTTAGAGTTCGTGAACAAAGAGTATAACATGTGTTGTGTCCTCGGGGACTTCAATCTGCCTCGAGTCGACTGGGCTAGTTGTGTAGTGTTAAACGAGGGCAGGGAAGCCGACTTTTGCAATATGATTAATAACTACTTTTTAAAACAAATCAATCATGTTCCTTCAAACCCCACTCGCAACCTGTTAGATCTTGTGTTTACGGACTTCCCAGAGAGGTTCTCTACGATCAGGGAACTTCCCGCTGACTTTGATACTGACCACACTGTTCTCGAGTTCTCTCTCCGCTGTCGTATCCAAACTAGGCAGGAGCTTCCTCGTAAAGTGTACAACTTTAAACGGTCTCAGTGCTCACCTAGAGTCACTGAGGCTATCAGAGTCAGTTATTCACCACCATGACATCGACTCTGCCTGGGAAGCATGGTCTTCAGTCGTTCAGTCGGCTGTTGACATGTTCGTGCCCAGTCGGAAGCTCAAGGTATCAACATCACCTCCTTGGATCGACGGCGAAGTACGCAACTTGCAGAACAAGAAGCGGACAGCGTGGAAAAGGGCGAAGAGGTCAGACTCCCCCTCTCACTGGGAGAAGTTCCGTAAACTAAGAAACAAACTGAAGAACTTGTTATCAGCTAAGTATAACAAATATCTTGTTAGCCTCTCTTCCACTTTACAGGAGTCGCCGAAGAGATTCTGGGCTTTTGTACGAGCAAAGTCAAAATCCAGGTCTCTTCCGACTGACGTCCATCTCAATGGCACGGTCGTTCAGTCTGCACCTGACAAAGCCAATATGTTTAATGACTACTTTTTCTCCACCTTCTCTGCACCTGACCCTAATGTTATCAAGCCCGACATCGACGTGATAGTTGATGAAAGATTGTGTAATTTGCTACTTGCTGTAGAATCCGTGGAAAATGTGTTAGTTAATCTCAACACTAGTAAGGCTGTGGGTCCGGATAACATCTCTGCACATGTTCTTAAGGGTTGTGCCAAGACTCTTGCTCCTTCCTTGACCTTGCTGTTCAATAGATCACTATCCGCTGGTTGTGTACCTAGTAGATGGAAGGATGCAAACGTACTACCAGTGCATAAGAAGGGTGACAAAGAGAATGTGGCCAATTATAGGCCAGTATCCTTGTTATCCCTGGTTAGCAAGGTGATGGAACGCTGTATGTACAATCAGTCGATTCCAATGTTGAGAGGGTCGCTTCACGAATTCCAACACGGGTTTATTGCCGGCCGTTCTACCACCACTCAACTTGTAGAAACCTACCATCAAGTAGGATCCATACTCGACAAGGCGGGGCAGGTAGACATGTTATTCTTGGACTTCGCGAAAGCGTTTGACTCCGTTTCCCACACTTTGTTACTCCAACAAACTTCAGATGTTTGGTTTCGGTGGTAACCTCCTGGCGTGGTTTACCTCCTACCTAACAGATCGTCGTCAGCGTGTGGTAGTGGAAGGCTGCCAGTCCAAATGGCTCCCGGTGACATCAGGTGTTCCACAGGGCTCCATTCTTGGGCCCTTTCTCTTCCTTCTGTTTATCAATGACTTACCTTGTGCAGCAACTCAATCCACTGTAGCACTCTTCGCTGATGACTCTAAGTGTTTTAGGGAAGTCAGCAGGCTAAATGACTGTGTTAAGCTGCAAAATGACATCACTGCTATGTACAATTGGAGTCTTACTTGGAAGATGTCTTTTCATCCTTCCAAGTGTAAACTTATCCGTTTAACTCGCTCTAAGAGTCCTATTGTGTACTCTTATCACATGTCTGATACTACAATTACATCTGTAGACAGTATGCCTGACCTTGGGGTCATTGTCCAGTCGGACCTTCAGTGGAACAGTCATATCTTAAAGATGGTAGCCAGGGCCAATTCTATGACTGGTTTCATCAAAAGAACAGTCGGGTTAAACTCTAGCACTGATGTACGCAAGGCACTGTACACCACATTGGTGAGAAGCATCTTAGAATACTGCTCACCTTTGTGGTCTCCTCAGTCCCGCAAACTCATGTCCCTTGTAGAAGGGGTGCAACGGCGGGCGACTAAATTCATTCTAGGAGCCCACTCGAACACCCTGACCTACAAGGAACGTCTCTCCACCCTTGGTCTGTTGCCTCTTGCGCACAGGCGTGAAGTTTGCGACGTCATGGTGTTTATTAAGTCTAAACCAATTGTTCACAAGTATGTATCCTTCCCTTCCAGACCCTCTAGATACCTCCGATCGCACATGCTTACCCCCATTAGAGTAAGGACATCAGCCTTCAGCTCTTCTTACATACCAAGGCTGGTCACCATCTGGAATCAGCTGAGTCCTGTCCTCCGTAATATTGGGGTTCAAGCCTCTGAAATGTCCAACATCTTGACATTCAAGCGATCGCTTGTGAGAGCCACGTTTATGAGATTTGACACCCAGTTCAATATCGACGTTCCCTGCTCCTGGTCCACATCTTGTGGATGTGCCTCATGCACTGCTTTAAGGCCGCATTAGTATCATACTTAGCTTTTTAACCTGTACATAATGACATTTGATAATTTTTGTACATAATCAATTCTGTGTATAACTTTTACCGAATTCTATATTTCATGTCTACTGATTTTTGATGTCTTATGTCTAATGTTTATTGTTTGACTTGGTTCCGTATTGTTTTGTATTATCATTTCAGGTTTGGGAGGACAACTTGTAAAGGCGTTGATACACCTGTTTTGTCCTCCCTTCCACTTGTTTTTGCATGTGGTAAATTCAAATAAAGAAATAAAGAAATAAAGAAAGAAATATTGTACTGCAAGCGAGCTTTTGGTAGCTGAATCCCCCCCCCCCCTGTGTGCTTAGTCGGGTGTTGTGTGTGTGGTTACCGGCAGATGTTGTGAATAGTTGAGAGATGTGTTCCGGTGACATTCCATTAATTGCCTTGAACATAAAAGTAGCATTGGCTGGCTTGTGGTGCTGTGCTACCGAGGTCTAGCCTAAAAGGTTTAGCTATTTAGATAAGTGCGTAGACGAGTCTTCACAATGCCCGAAAACCCTAAGTAATTTCAGGTTTTGTAAAGTTGGATAAGGCTAGAGAGGCCGAGTTCTTCAGGATGAGGATAACAATGTGCGGGCACTACCGGACACTAAAGTTAACGGACGAGCCAGCCTGGAAGACCAGGTACCGGCGGGGGGAGGGGGTTACCCCATAAATATATAGTGTGAGTAGGGTTCTTTCGCTTCTTCGAGTGGCTCTAGTTTATTAAAAGAGGGGCATTTGATAAATACAAATGTTACCAGCGTCTTGTTGAAAACAAATCTTTCATCGACACCGAACACACCCTCTGTGGAACACCCCTCTGTGGCAAAAAAGTGGACCAATCTCATAATACCACAAACACACAAATGGTCAACCCGCGCTACCATTTTCAGACTCAAAGGGGTGTCCGGAGGCCGCCAATAAAATTCATTTTCACGCCCGAAAACACATATACAATAAGAACAAAAGAACGTGCACCATCTACAGCCCAATAGCAGAACGTATACCGAGTCCCAATTACATCCGTCCACCCCAACGCGAGATACAACTGCGATGATTTTTCTTTTCTCTATACCTAAAACCCCTCTTTGCAAACCCAACGAGACGTGGACGACACCCACAATACTTAATACACGCCAAAGTTTAAAACACGAAACCACTTTCACACTCAAAGGGGTGTCCATACGCTGTCAAAGCGCATAATTTTCTCGCTCCAGAAATAAGTCCCAGAAATATCCGTCCACCCAAGCGCGAGAAACAGCTGCGAACGTGAAAATCTACATCTCCCACAAAACCCAGCTTCCGCGGAAGGATACTAGTATATCCTCCCCCGGAGGTAAAAATAAGTACCAAAATAAATCGTTGTACACTGTGCTAGTTCTGCGCATGACGATTTGCTGGTCCCTCCCCTTACAGTATTGCTAGCTCTGTTCTTTGGGCATAGCAAAAAAGACCCATTTTACACAATTTTATAGTGGTATATGCCAAACTATGTCTCAAGTTCATTTCGCACTTGCGTAAGACACATCTATAACAAATTTCAGGTGCTTTGGTTTTAATACAAGGGCATAAAAGCATTTTGTCTGGAAAGAGCAGAAAAACTTATTTTACACAAATTCCAATTAGTGCTTACAAAAAATGTGAGTATAGTTCTTTGGGCATACGTCTAAGGCACTCCTATACCAAATTGTAGGTCATTTGGAGGTAATATTAGGTCACAGAAGCCAAAAATGTACATTTTTGTCTGAAAATAGCAGAAAGGACCTGCTTCACACCATTTTCAAGTGATGTATGCCAAAGCTGCAAATGTCATTCTTTGAATCGAAAAACTCAAACCGGCAATTACAGAAAAAAAGCACTGCTTAACTACACGATTTAGCCTTCAGAGAAGACTCTTGCTGCCCTCAGAAAGGCTACGAATAACGCTCAACGGAGCTCGGCGCAGCACCAGCGACTACTGGCTGAACCTCTGCCGAGGCATCCAGCTCTCCGCTGACTATGGCATCATTCCTACAATGTACGACAGCATGAAGAAAGCGTCCCAGCATCACTAAGACTGCAACTCTGAAAACAGCCTCTTGTGTCACTATGACAGACAGACGAAAGCTGATGGAGAGATGGGCCAAACAATATCAAGAGCTCTACTCAAGAGAACGTCGTCAGTGCAGCAGCAGTTGAGAACACAAACACCCTACCACCTATGGAGGAACTATATTCTCCACCCACCATCGACGAAATCAGAAAGGTCATCAACCCCCTGGCCAGCTGGAAAGCTCCTGGTAGTGATGACTTTCCTCCCGAGGTCGTCAAAACAGGCAAGAGCACCGCCCTACATCACTGCCTGCACGAGCTCCTACTCCCGTGCTGGAAGGAGGAAACGGTCCCACAAGATATGTGCAACGCTAGCATCATTACGCTCTATAAGAACAAGGGAGATCGCAGCGACTGCAATAACTATCGAGGAATATGCCTTCTCAGTACTGTTGGAATAGCCTTTGCTCGATCAGTACTCAACCGACTGCAGAAACTCGTAGAGCGAGTCTACCCCGAGGCACAATGCTGCTTTAAAGCAGAATGATCAGCCGTTGACATGGTCTTCTCATTAAGGCAGCTGCAGGAGAAGTACCGAGAACGGTGGCGTCCGCTGTACGTCGCCTTTATAGATTTGACGAAGGCGTTCGACTTGGTCAGCAGACAAGGCCCCTTCACCCTGCTAAAGAGGATTGGATGTCCCCCAAAGCCATAGAGGCATGTGCAGCACGGTCCAGTACGATGGTTCATCCTCGGATCCCTTCCCAATCAAAATCCTTCAAGATAGGCATCTACATTGTATCATTATGGTAAAAACTAACTCAAAATATCCCTGTCAACGTAAGTGACAAGAAATACACCAGAAGATAACAAAACTACAAACGATTTCATGGAGTAATGATGTCTACGGCTTTCTTGTTATACATGTAGTCCTGTCTACTACTGATGTTCATCCTGCTGCCTATTCTGACAATGTTACTGAAAGACAAAAAGCCTTTCGAACATTTTAATACCCAGCATATTTAATATCTAGTTCAAATCCACAGATGAAAAAAAAAGCGGACAAGACAAATGATCTATTCTATAAGGTGTGGCTGCATTTTATGAAATATTACAATACCTAAAACAAAGATTGCATGGAATCATGTCGAAACAGCAGCCTGTAAATTAAATGTACCTATTATATCTAAGGGGGGAGTTCAGTGCAATAAAAAGTAAACAATAACATATCAATTATAAATCCCATCCTACTTCTACTTTGTCCCTCAAACGACCAGAAAAAGGAAGGTCAAGAGACGATGTAGGCACTTAGGCACGTAGGTATAACCTGTGTGTGTTCCTATGCAACCCTTGATTTTCTTTTAAAAAGACTTTAGTAATCTTTAAGCGATTCTTTGCTAAGCGATCTTTTTTGGAATGTATATACGTACCTTTGTCAAACACGTTGGTATCAAACTCAGTATTGTGATATACTATTTGCCGGAGTTGAAGATTAAGAAGAGGAATAGTTGCCGCCTTGATAGTCATGTGCTTGGTTCCTTTCCCATTAACATGTACATGGTTGTACGTGGCGAGTAAGGTAAAAATCCCTTTTTCCGCTGAAAACTGCACCTTTAAAAAGCATAGATTAACGTTGTTAAAATACCTAACAACGTTAGGTACGTTTGGATAAGATTAAAAACATTATTGAATGGATTTTATTTTGATGTATTAAACACATGCGGTACATGTGTGGGGAAAGCGAAATACATGTCGGAATCTATCAATTTCTATGTTTGTCTGACACAATGACGGCGATTTTTGTCTATAAAATCTGTTCGACTTATATGTTTTAACAACTTGGGATTCATTCCTTTTATGACTAACTCTGGATTAAATTGTTAAATCTCTATATTTAGATAACGCTACATGCAACACTTCAGAACGAGCCTTTCCGGTTTTGATCTGCATATTAGCTTTGTGTAAAGGAGAACAATAAACATTTTTTTTTAAATCTCGATTCTACAGACATATTGGAGCATAATACAACTTAGTTCAAGAGTTTAGTTAATTAAAGAAGTCATTTACGAAAGACGGGGGAGCCTTAGGGTCGATCTATCCCCTGTTGGCGACACGGCTTTGGGGCTTATTTATTACTTCACTATATAATATTATGGAGTAAGATATTGTTTTACTCCAATTTTGATGCCTAATAACCTCTAAACGGCTTCTACCAAAAGCAACAAAGGTGGTGACTTTTCCTAAAATATACCCGGCCACAATTTTATATCAGTAAGCTGATTTGATCATTTCTGTGTCGCCACGAAACAGACGCCATATGACGTCAGAGCTACTAATATAGTCCGCCATATTGGATTTTGACCAATGACGTCATCAAATTAGCATATTCTATGCATATTAAATGATTTAACATAAAATTAGCATATTCTATGCATATTAAATGATTTAACTTATATTTAATTATGTAAGATGTTATAAATGTTTGAAAAGAAGTGTAATTTAAAATAAAACTCAGAAAATTTTTATGTTTAAACCAAAATTACTTCTATTTTTAAAAAAACTGCCTGCTTGAAACCCGTTGCCATGGCAACACAAAAAATATCAACTTACTAGTATTAAACTAATATGAACTTTTTTCCAGAGACATTTTAGGAAAGGTCTCCAAATTTGATACTTCAAGCCGTTTAGCCGCTATCTGAGATCAAAGTTGGGCCTCAAAGGCCCCTTCAGTCTGAAATGGATTTAAAAATCGGGTATTTCTTCTTGTCTTCTTTTCTTCACCAAAAAATAGAAAAAGTTCAAAATGTATGATTTTTCTATGTAATGTGGACACAGAGGTTCCCACATCAGTTTGCAAAACAATTGAGCTGGTAGCATGTTGATCATTTCTAAAAATTAGCAAAAAACTGTTCTGGGGTCCGCGCGGACCCCAGGTCTACAGATTAATCAGTCCGGGAAGGTGTACTGTTGAGGGTTAAATGTACGTAATATGGTGTTTATATGTTTAATATGCAACTCTACTGTCATGATTTACCAAAAAATGACTTCAAGACTGTTTAATTGTTAACGATAAATACTTTAATCATCATCATCATACCAAAATACTATCAATACTACTTATCAAGAGAAATATAACATATAGGCATTTACCTTTTGCTCAACATCAGTATAATCCTCTTGAAAATAGTACCATTCAATTCGTAATCCTGGAGATTGATGAGGGAGGCAGTGTTCGAATACTCTATCTCTCTTTCTCTCTCTCAGAGGGAAAAGAGGGAGATAGAGAAAGAGAGAAAGATGATATTACTTATTATGGTAACATTTGGAGGTAAATACTTGTATGTAACTGTTCTCACATGTGCACGATATGGGAATCAAGAGCCCATCTTTTCTACAATGGCAACAAAATCCCAATGTTGATAGGCTGGAATGACTACTGCACTATTGTAAAATTTAATTCATGAACAATAAAAGAACATACCTTTGATTACAATTGCCCGAAGAGGTCTTACGTAAAGACCAGAGGCAGGATAACTGATAGGCGAGTTTCCGTCCACATAGTTGTACAGGTCTTTGATGCAGATTTGTCTGTGTGATTAGAGTAGATTGTTCATTGTCAGATGATGCCATACTCCACTATTAGAATGCATTTTTTTTATTTCCCCGCAATGATAAATTTTGTAAGCAAGAATATTATGCTGTGTACAATAATCCCTATTTAACCCTATCTAGACGGGGGGTACAAGTGCCCGCGCCAAATGTGATGTCTGATAGCGTCGAATTTGATGACTTCATTGACCATATCATTAGATCAGGTACTTTGCTGCTATTTTCCTAAAAATGGCATCACTACTAGTTGATTTTTGTTACTTAAAAAGGTTAATACTTCTTTTCAAACATTTATAACATCTTACATAATTAAATATAAGTTAAATCATTTAATATGCGTAGAATATGCTAATTTGATGACGTCATTGGTCAAAATCCAATATGGCGGACTATATTAGTAGCTCTGACGTCATATGGCGTCATAATTACACCAAAGTTATTAAAATTTAATTCTTTTACTACACCATTCTCTGAAAACCTTTATATCAAATTTTTATTGTATTCTTTTAGGATTTATATTGAAAAAAAAGGATTCCCGAAAATGTAATGTTGACAATCAAATATGACAGATGGTTTAAATATGCAAGACGCCTTTTATGACATTTTTGGTGTTGATATGGGCAATATATGCTTTAGTAGACCTAAGTTCTATCATTTTTTGTAAATTGTAAACCATTGTTGTATACTATTACATCACGATTGTCAAATTTAGGCCCAAATATTCCAACCTTTTTCCGAATACAATCGTGTTCGATATGACGCCATTCGAACCGAACGTTCGTTCGATATAGAGTCACCCGCGGCCATTTACAGTAAACTCTCTACAACCCGCTACTTCATGCATCCTTTTACATGGGCTCCGCCTAACATTAAAAAATCCACTTTTTTCACAAATACAATCCGATTTCTGGACAGCACACCTATGCCGACATTTTGTAGCAGATGTGTATCATGTAACGATGTCACTGCCGTCAATATGGATGACCTTGAATATCGTAATTCTTGTTCACGCGCATATAAATAATCCTATCCACTTACTCACGCGGCGTGACATGCTTGAAAATATGGTATTTAAATCGCAATAAAAATAAATCCAATTTACCTCAAACATGTTTTAACCCTCAACAGAACACCTTCCCGGACTGATTAATCTGTACACCTGGGGTCCGCGCGGACCCCAGAACAGTTTTTTGCTAATTTTTAGAAATTATCAACATAGTTTTTTTTTGTGTTGCCATGGCAACGGGTTTCTAGCAGGCAGTTTTTTTCAAAATAGAAGTAATTTTGGTATAGAAGTAATAGAAGTAAAGTTTTATATTAAATTACACTTCTTTTCCAACATTAATAACATCTTACATAATAAATATAAGTTAAATCATTCAATATGCATAGAATATGCGAATTTGATGACGTCATTGGTCAAAATCCAATATGGCGGACTATGTTATTAGCTCTGACGTCATATGACGTCATAATTACACCAAAGTTATTAAAATCTAATTCTATTACTACACCATTCTCTGAAAACTTGGTAGACATACGATGAGTGCATAAAAACATATAAAAACGGAAATAAGGTAATGTATACGAACGCCAGTGTATCCATTATGATCGAAAGCCGGATGGGGTCCGCGCGGACCACAAAAGAAAATCAGATATAATTTTTTTTTATAAATGGTAGAAACGGAGTTTTCTGCACTGTATTTAGGGACAACTTTGTGCGCAAAATACTAGTCTTGACAAGGAAGCAGGCCAATGGGCCATTTACTGACAGATTTAAATTAAAAAAACACTCCGTTAAGTCATTTCCATCCCACTCCCCCACAAAGAATAGGGAAAACAAGCTGGGGCAATATAGCCGCAGTTCAATCTTCGCAAGTGTGAATCTGTTGTCAAGATTCGAACTTAGCTTGTCAATACAAGACGAAGCGTAGAAGTGCTAAAGATGAGGAAACGTTTTTAAACTTATAGACATCCCTGAGTAAGAACAATTAGTGCTAAAATGTTAAGTTTTTTAGTTTTTTTAGAAATGAACGGCTGAAAGAAAATTAAAAACAAAATTCCGACGCCGGGATTCGATACCACGATGTACGGAGCAAGACAGGCCGCCAGACATACACACACACCCGGCTGAGTAACAGGGGACATGGTCTGGCATCATCGTGATAGCATGGCTTATGAATGCTTTCTAAAACGTTTTAATGTAGCAAATACCGATCAAACATGCCATGGCAATGTACCTACGTGCGTTTAAGACAGACGGACAGACACAAAAGCACGAATGCCTCTGAAACCTTGACCTTCTATGCGAATGTACCAAAATATCTACGCCTTTCATGTTTTAGACGAAATCTAGTTCAAAACAACTACCAATTAAAATCGTTTACTGACATTAGAAACCCAATATAATATATATACTCAAAAACAGTTTACCTTCTTTCATACCGTGCCAAACTGTGTCTTCTCTCCTCTTCTCTAGAATCCCATTCTTCATTGGTATATTTGTTTTTGATTTCCCTTCCGTTACACGCGCATGTTCTTTCTCCGATAGTCCTAAAAAGGTGAATACATTTTGACTAATTAATTGTTGTTATAAAAATTAACTAATGGTTAATTTGAATAATAAAATCACATGGTAGGTGATATGCCATTACAGCAACAACGTCGATTAATCGTAGCGTGATTAATAATTATAGGGTTTGTTGTCTACATCCTTAAAGCACATGTTATAAGATATAGCATTTCTTTTTTGACGAGCAGAGATTAGCCCTTTGCTAACTTGACAAGAAACGGCATCGTGGTGTTCCTATAAACCAAGAGTATTTCGACCTTATCGCGTCACCAGTTATATCCTCACATTCAGGAGACAGTAAACTAATGTAAATGGATTATTTTTATACAGATGATGAAAACTTTACACATAGATGAAGCGTCTCTGGTACAGTGTGGTCAGTTGTATGCTAAGTCATTGTTATTTCATTCCGTGTGTGTCATTGAGTATTTTTTTTACTCATGTTCTTCAACATCCCTTGTAATTTTGTATTGAATTTCTTTATTTGTAGACCAAATGACCTGAAAGTTGGTGTGGAGTTAGAGCTAGTGAACCAATACCGTTATTTTCATCTTTTATACTTTTTTTTCCATTTTTTGTTTGTTTTCTTGGCCTTTTTCGACATTAATTGCTTTTGGGATCCAGAAGACCTGGTATTACGCCCAAATGATCTAAAAGCTAGTATCAGTGTGTTATTAGAATTATGTCATTTTGCATGGAAACGTAACACGTTATCGTTAACATCCCCGTTTACGTCTATTCGAGGTACCCTAATCAAGTCTTTCTGCTTTGTGACTCCGTGAAGGGAATATACCTCCTTTAGCAGTATATATTGTGAATATAAACGACAATCGTTTCTCAATGAATAGATATCCCTTTATTTAGAAAAATCAAAACTAATCCAAACAAATGCAGATTGCGAAAAAAAATTGCCCTTTTAACTGCCTATTATTAAAAACAAAAGCTCAGCGTCTGTTTTAATGGTTCGGATAACTAAAAAATCATGCTAATGAGGTGATAAATTACATAAGTCATGTTGATTGATGTTCAATTTCAATTAATTTCCAAATGTGGCAAGTATGGAATTCCCAGCAGTTACAACTATGAAATTATAATAATTTCCCATTAATTATGCAAATTAGGTCTGAATATGGATAATATATATCCTTAGATCTTTTTTTCTCGTTCTTAATTACATGTCACAAGTGTTTCATAGTCCTTTCATCGAACAAAGCAGGTTTATAGAATTCCCTCATTAATTTTGCAAATAACCTCCTGATTTTCATAATTGTCATTTTGTTATGTCAAGCATCACTTCAGCTACCTACATACTAAAAATAACGACGATCTGTCAACCGGTTCTTGAGTTATCCTCCTTCGAAAATTTTTCAACAAATGCTACTGCAGTTCCAGAACAAGCCGCTAGGGAACTCAAACTTATGTCACTTCTTTCCTAGCCCAAGAACTATCTGTCATCCAAAATTCGTAACCCTAGCATGTTCAGATTACGACATATCAAGACCGGAAATGCTGCCGCAGTACCATGGAAAGCCGCCAGGGGGCCCAAAATATAATTTTTTTTAACTCTCATAAAGACCTTCCCACCTACCAAGTTTCTTGACAATGCATATTTTAATATTCTTGAGTTATGCTGTTCACAGACAAACAGACGGACAAACGCTACTGAAAACATACCCTTCTTGGTGAAGGTAAATATGAGTAGATTTGTCCGACCTTTTTCTTCGGACCTTCCATCGAATAAGAAAAGGTCATTTAAAAGACAATCTAATTTGAGATTCAATTGAGATTTGAGAAAAAATATAGTGATTATTACGGTATGCAGCATGCTGTTTTTATACTTACATAAGGACCTCCTCATCATGTTGGACAGGGATATCCTTTTCCTTTTCAGCACGCACTGTTCTCAGAATTTGAACTTTTGGTCGAACTGGGAGTATTTTCTGTTGAAAATTAGCATCCCATACAAGCCAAGCTGTACAGCAGCTGTGATCATAAAACCAATAAAGTATATACGAATGGGTTATCCATAGACATGTAGCAAAAGACTGTTGGTCTGTAAATGTAAATCATACCATACCTAACCATACTAGAAGAGCCAATCCAAGACTAGTAATACCCTGATTCAATAATACCCTATTAAAAAACCAGCAATAAATATTTGTCTGTTATGGTCTCGTTTTGCAATAATGCAACGTTAAGTCTCTAGATATTTAAGTTTAGGTCGATCATAAATTCGTTTTAAGGTATCTAAAACAACATTAGAACTTCGCATAAGGTAAGGTCACAACCCGCCGTATATGCAACTCGTGCTGTCTATGTGCAAAACCTGGGCAAACTTAGTAGATCCTGAAGTGGTGAGTATCGACTACGTACGGACTAAGGCGAGTCCCGGTGTACAAGACGCACAGGTGTACTGTGGGGAACATGTTGGAGGAAATGACTCTGCCAGAATCTCTGCCTTCCTAGCGTCCTGTCACAAGTATCAACCAGGTTGTACTCACTAACCATCACGTGTTTGATGTCAGGAAGCCAGAGAGGCAGAGGAGGAGAACAGTCCCTGGTGATCAGTTCGCACCGCAACACAGCTCAGAAGGAGTGCGGTAAAACACCCTAACGTAGTAATTTTTAATCATTGTCTAAAAGGCAAGTAAACCCCAGAGAAGCGGGTGTTATCTAGCTTGTAAAAGACCACATCTTAATAAGTCAACCAAATGGGCAAAATTATTGACAGATGAATAAATACTTTCTAAACTTCAATGATTAATATAGCACTTAATGCATTATTTTTACGTTAGCTTATTCACTGCCTCATGACGTCGTCACCTCTCCTGTCCCGTGTGACGTCATTTTGGGGTGCATCTCTAAAGCGAGTTTCCCAGCGTTGAAATGGCCGACAGACGTTAGGTAAACTGTCCTTTCTCCGACTACACGAAGCGTTTACCATCACTCGTACCTCTTGTTAGCGGAACAAAATAAAACAGTTGAGATTGACCCGTTTCTGTTGAGTTTTAATTAGTTTGATCAAGCCGGTGTCTACCGCCAGCGGAGCTCATAGTATATAGTGCTAGGCAGAGGTTTTTACACACATGATCGGTTCAAACCCATTAAGAGTCTGGAAGCGTACAACTACGTAGTATCAGGATGTGTATAGATTGTTGGGGGACAGTTGCGTGGTAACAAGTACACCGTAGTCGGGAGAGTCAAAAGGTCGCCAAGTTGAAACAGCCCTGGACTCCATGCCGTGACTGAGTGGCTGGACAAGGTGAGTGTGACGTTGCCAGCACCCTGTTCTACATTGAAATTTACCTAAAAGTAAAATGACAGGTACATGTAGCTCCAACAGATTTACCTTGTTCATGGCTACCCACGTTGCCATCTACAGCCCCCCACGCCAGGGTAAAACACACTTCCGATCAGAAAAAATCCAAATCTTGACAACATGAGACATGGACATAAAGCCAAAAAAAAAAAACCCAAGGGCGGTGCTTCTAATAAGAAGATTCTCAAAAACGTAGATTCTAACCAAAACTACGCAACTATCGCCAAAATTTTGCATAGCGTACCACAGCGATAGACACGATGCTAGACCACAACATGGCGGACAATGCTCGTTGCCTGGGGGTAATGTCACGTGACAAGCTGTGGTGACTAAGCCCTATACCTTGCAATTAGTAAAATTAAATCCTTTATTCTTTGGGACAGTTTTTAGGGAACCATGTATACATGTACAAACGTCTTGGTGCTGTTTACATCTGTTGTGACTGAATTGTGATTGTCAAAAAGAATATGTGAAAGTTTTACAGGAGTTTTAAAATCCGTTTAGATCCAGGTTGCAACATTAACTTGTCATGTATTCTTAACGTTATAGGTATCTGGTGTACATGTGTACAAACAAATTCACCAGAATTTAGACCTAGGTGTCTCTGTGTGGGATGATTCGTTTAGCTAAAGTCCTAGAATTACACTTTGTAAGGCAGTGCTGACATTTGGCTACCTCCCTTTATTTATGCAATGATGACTTGTGTACTCTGATTTCAGGAGAAGCCTCTTGGAGTATTTTTACTGTGAAACTTCTAAGCTCCCCGTGTATGCCTTCGGACATGTTGTTTTGCTCCTTTTTCCGTGTAAATCTGTGTTCCACATGTTGAAAAGTTAGTAAGTCAGGTACACTGGCTTTTTATTTCCTCTCCGATACCTCCTAACATAATTGGAAGCTGTGCAGAAATAAAATTAAACAAAGTGAAGTTTATTTGAATTTTTTTTTATTTACTCCATAACCAAAAATAAATAAATTTGACTACATGGCCCATGCAATTCTGACTTATGTTTTGGCAGAGCACACACAGCATACAATATGTAAGACATTGGGCATGGATTCGTCATTTGTACGGCATCCACATGAACAAACGTTTAGAGTCAAACATATCACCACACTCCAAACAAGATTTGCAAGGCTACCCAAGTGATCTTTATGGTGGTTTTACAATAACTATTCATTTAAAAGAAATGACTAGTTTTTGTAAACTAAAAAAATGTCATTTGCGGAAAAAGAAATGGTGGCTTAGGAAAAATACTCCAGTCTGTTTGGTAATCTAACAGTTGAGTGCATGAGATG